CCAGTTGTTGTCTGTATTAAATATATCGTATCCGTCGATGTGATTCAATGTCTTCAAATCATGGGTCCACGCCTCAGTAAATGCAATACAATCAAATTCTAAGTTTAGACTTTGTAACAAAACCAATGCAGCATCAATGTTCCTACTGTAACTTCTAATATTTAAATGGATAAATAATAAACCTTTCCCCTCATTGAAAAAGTTAGATACTTGTATATGGTTTACAAAACTCATGCATTGTTTAGTTTTAAAGTTTTCCAAGTCAGTTTCTCTATCAAAGTGAACCATGCTACTATCCTAACCGTGTCTTCCCCAAATTGTACACATATATCGAATAATTTATTATAAAATCGCACAAAGCATTACCTCGCTATGTATTAATTTGAGAATACTATTACATTTAAAAGTTGTATTAACTTAATAAAGGATGCTCAAAACTACTTTTTTTTAACAGAAAACAAAACTACACTAAGTAATATGCATTAATTGGCTATAAATTTAGACAAATAAAACTCTAGTGTGATGTTCTATAGACTTTTAGTAAAATTACATTTACTATTTAACGATAACACAAAATTACAACAAAAGTATTTTTCTAAGTACAGTACCTCATTACTGCTTTGGTTATTTTAGGTTATTAGTCTGGAGTTATCTCGAAACACTTTATAGTAATAAGTTGATTTTAAGAAAGTTTATAAATACATAGTTATAGGCCTAATCCGTGACAAGCAAACAAAAATTGAACGTAGTAAACATTCAAGGTTAATTGTATAACAAATTAAATATTAAGTTTGTAATGGGAGTAGAATTTACTAAATAAATAAATATACCTATGATTATAATTAATAACTTACAAATAAAAGACTTTTTAAGTAATCAACTTATGGATACTTATCTTATACTAACAATAAAAGTGCATTCCAGGTTGTTTTTTATTATCGAACGTAAAAAATGTAGGCCTAAGTAATAATAGTAGTAAAAAAAGGATAAATAAATAAAATAAATACCAATGTAAATAATTAACCCTAGTTTTCATAGCTTGCAAATTATGTTTTCCTTTTAAAGTAGTAAAATAAAATAAAATATGCATGCAAAATAATTAACAATATTAGTAAAAACAAAGATAAATAAATAAAATATTAAATATTTAAGTAAATAAGTACAACTGAGCACCCTGAATATTATATTTTATAAAGGGTGCCCAGCTGTACCCATCCACCCAAATATTTAATATATCAGCAGCCCTATTAAGTGAACACCTAAATTAAAACATAAATAAAATAATTACTAATGTAAATAATAACCCTGTGTGTCATAAGCTTGTAAATTATGTTTTTCTTTAAGTAAAATATGCATGCAAATTATAAATAAAAAAAGTAAGAATGCATTATATAAATACTAATAACGTTGTTAACATTTCAGTTTGTTTCAGCAATCGACCTTTGCATTGAAGTTTAAAGTAATAAATAACTTATTACAGGAGTGATAAGCTTGTAAATTATAATTTCTTTAATAGTTAACTTAAATATGCAAATTTAAAGAAGACAGAAAAAAATATATATAATATGATGGACTAGGATAAAATTAATAAGATGAGTTTAGATAGGCTCACTCATTATTTAAGAAGTTGTTCCAGATCTTCCATTGTCCTCAGGAGGGTTGGTCGGCTTCCAGGTTCGGAGTTCCTCTTCCTCGCGAACACCTTGCAGTCTCGTGACCATGCAGAGATTAGCTTCTTGTCGCGGACGGCTTGTCGCGCCTTGCCGAGGATCGCTTTGTTGAACGCTGTTAGGTGGTCATTGATGAAAAAACTATAGGACGGCCACGAGTCGCTGAGGGCTGCTCCTGTCATCTTCTGTCCGTTAGCAAAGGCCGCATTCATCCACGCCGTCTTGCACTCTCTGGAGATGAATTTAACAATAATTGCTGGGTTGGGACGTTCAGTTGTCACTGGCAGACGATGTGCTATCGATATATCCCACGAGTTGTATTTGATCTGGATGACCGTTGCAATTTTTGCAATAATCGAATAAAGATTTTCTCCTTTTGTGTAAGGAATTCCCACTATTTCAATATTATCCCTCCGTGAATATTGTTCCATATTTTGCATGTTAGACTTGATATCACTAACCTCTTGCTTTAATTTAGCGTTTTCACTTTCTAAGCTACATATATCATTCTTCCTGTCTTCATTTTCTTTAACTAAATTACCTAACGTTGCTTGCAATGAACAGATCGTGTCATTAACTGTTTTTAACTGACCTTTCACGCCATCAATGTTTGTGTTAACCTGTCCAACCTGGCCGCTGAGGTTGCTCTCCAAGTTGCGAATCAATGTAGTCAGAGCCTCGTTATCTTGGGTTTGCTTACCGCCACTACGTTGAGAAGATTGTTTCACCTCACAAGTATCACACAACCACGCTAGCTTTTGTTGATTGTTAAGTAGTTTATAGTTTTCATCAGATACAACACGTGAACACGCCGGGTGGAACACTTTCTTACACTTCGCACACACGAGAGTATCTTTTTTATCGACAAACACGGATGAACACTTGCCACAGGTCGACATTTTAAGCAAGAAAATATAATTAAAAAAAAAATATATATAAAATAATCCGTCTATAAAATAATCCGTACTAAACCATGCACATGCACGTAAAAACTGGATGGGGAGACACGGCAGAGGTAGCCTAGATAGTGGAGGTCAGAGTGCAGACGACCTCCCTCGGCGGCATCCAGATAAGAACTGAAGACGGCAATGACGTAATGTTTGCCGTGTGTGATCAGCTGCTTGTTTTAATTATTCCTTGGAAAATAAATAAATAAATACCTACGTCATTGCCGTCTTCTATCGTGACGTCATGCTTGACGAGCATCACGGCCTAAGTTAACAATTTATTTCTAAATGTGAAAAAAATGTTTACGCCACACTACACTATTTTGACGAACTTCCCACACAAGGATTTAGTCCAGAAAACAGCTGTTTGCCGCCAGCTTAATCAAATGGGGTTTCATTGCGTACTACTGTATTGTAATGAGTTTTACCGGACACCAATCAGCTGATTACACTGAATTTGGGTGACAATGAGTGGTTATAAACAAAAACATAACCTCTCTTAAAGGTTATGACTAGTGATTTTTAGTCCTTTAGTTGGTGGTAATATGTAAGGATTTGTACAGATTTAGTAGTATGGCGTAGACTATCGTACGTAACTTGTCCAAAATGTGTTAACCGGACTCGTATGGTAATCCCGTACTCGACCGTCTCGCACGGGAACGACCACACTCTTCCGGTAAACTCTTATTTTCAGGACTAGTAACGTAATATACTATTACAGGATAACTTGGATACGATATAAGTTAAAGCCTATTACAATAAAAAACAGGTGTAGATAGATGACAAGAGAGGAATTTTTAATTGAACACATTGAACATGAAGAAAACATGAAAAAACAAATTTATTACCTTGACAAAAAGAATACAAAATTATCAATTTGAACAGTTCAAAAGCTCTTAGCAGTTAAAAATTAATTTTCCTAGCTTTGATCTTGGCAAATTCTTTAATTGCAGAGTTGGTATCAATATGGTTCAGAACATCAGAATGTGGTTCAGAACATGAGTCATGAAATGAAACCCACAGGCGCCGCGCTGTAGTACGCTGCCGACTGCCGAGCGTCAGTTCACCACAAATCGAAACTACAAATGGCATTAAGTCCTTGAGTTGTAGTGCTGTACAAATTTTTCATATGCTGTTGGTACAAACAGAATAAATGCCTTTATTGTGGTGCTTTGAATACTTGAACTCTGAGCAAAAATAAACAAAATTACGTTGTTCACTAAAAAAAATTGTTCCGTTGGCGCCACGGCGCCAATTTTTCGTGGCGCCATATGCGGCCGCTTAGTTCGCGTATGGGTTAAACCGGCCCTGCCTACAGATCGGTTCACTTTCAAATAAGCCCATCCATTGTAAATGTTTCCTGAATCGCCCATGACCAGTTATCAGTTCTACAGTTAATCTAATTCTTCGTCTATCTAGACGTGTCCATACAAGGTGAATATAAAGTCAAGACCCCCCCCCCCCCTCTAATATTTTTCTGAGTAAATATACAGAGGGACCCTTTTGGTGGTCGTGGAAACTTAGCAGGAAGATTCATTTTATAATAAGAAGATTATGATAAGGAAAAATCAATGTAATGGTGATATTGGCTACTATTTTGGATAGAGAACTCTGGTTTTCACCATTCTTTAGCCTAGCCAAAGAATTTATATACATTGACATATTCTGAGATATTGCCTAGCCATATAAGTTAGTTATATTATTATTTATTCTTATATCTTGCCCGAAGCCGGGTCATCAGAAATGTTGATTAATTGATAGGCCGACCACCGCTGTTGACGCGACCACCGCTGTTGACGCGACCACAAGAGATGATCAGCAGTGACAAAAAGATCGCAAAAAATGGTTACAGATGTTACTACAATCGCAGGAGAGAATTAGAACAGAACTAGTAAAAAATGTGTATAAACATGAGCAAATTTAAATCTTGGCTTAGCTCTAGTTTAGTCAATTATAGCTACATTGTACATTACACATATATTCAACATATATATTCAATGAGTATAGGGACTAGTTTTAGTATGAGGACACTTTGGTTACTCTTCTTCTATAAACACATCTAGAGCCAAGTCAAAGAAAGGACTTGTGACAAAAACAAAAAACATATTATAATATTAAATCTTTTTCAAGTATTGTAGTTTGTAATTGTAAATTAAATAAACTTATTACTACCAGAATTTCCAGCCAATCAGGATACTAAGAAAGTATCTAGATTCTGGTAGTAATAAGTTTATTTAATTTACAATTACAAACTACAATTCAGTAGTACAGTAGTAGTTTTCTTAACTGGGAAAATTTTTGAATTTGGAAGACTGAACAAAAGCCAGTGAATTGTTACTAGGCAAATGTTGAATAGGACCAGGAAATTTGATTTTTGGAAGAATCACCAGCAACCGAGTGACCACTCAGTGGGGGCATGGCCGCCACTGGATAAGGCAGAAGAATCACCAGCAACCGAGTGACCACTCAGTGGGGGCATGGCCGCCACTGGATAAGGCAGAAGATTCACCAGCAACCTGTGACCACTCAGTGGGGGCATGGCCGCCACTGGATAAGGCAGAAGAATCACCAGCAACCGAGTGACCACTCAGTGGGGGCATGGCCGCCACTGGATAAGGCAGAAGAATCACCAGCAACCGAGTGACCACTCAGTGGGGGCATGGCCGCCACTGGATAAGGCAGAAGGATAAAGGCTAGCCAAGGCTTTTAATTATTGATTTGCTCAAATCAATCAACTAAGGTATCAAACTGTTCCATACTGACTGTTAACTGTTTGCCCCCAGAGGGGAGGTAAATGCTCCGTGTTGGTATCGGCATTTCAAGTTGGCCACAGACATGGTCGACTGGGCATCGGGTCCCAGTGACATTCCTTTATCCAGGATGGAGGGGTGTTTAGCTCTAGGAGAGATGGAAGTACATCATAATCTCTAACCTACCTGTGTCTGTGGTACTTTGGGCTTCGGCCTGCTTGTGGTGTGCGACCAGCATTCAGTGGGCAAATCCTCGACTTTGGAAGTAACCTTTCCTGGAGGTGAAAACGGGCAAGTACCCGCAGCTCACGGGGACACTCAAGGGCAACGTAACTTTCCGCAGTGTGAGGGCAACGGTTTGTAGGTACTTATGCAAACCTATCCCTGTCTCTGAGCACGGACGGTATGGTTATCTTGAGTGTGGGGGGTTCTTCCCGGAACCTCAATTGAGTCAAGGGTGTCGCCACCTCTGGTGGATAGGTTCATCCGGGTGGGTCCCACTTCTATACCTGCCTCCTTTTGGGAAACCCTGATGGCCTGGCAGTGATGTTGGGTCTGACGGGCAAACGAAGTAGATCGGGTGCTGGGTCCGAGCCCGCCAGGGGTATCTGGGGATCTATCGCTCTAGATATCTCTGGTTCCCAGCAATGGGTCAGGCCTCGATCGGGCAGCGGTGTAAATGGGAGGTTGGGGTTCCCCCCGTCAGCGTGCTGATGGTCCCCTTCCTCCTGGCTATTGATGGCGGGTTCTGCCTGTCAGGGATGAGATAGGTCCCGAGTGTTGCTTGCACTAAATGCGTCGGGGCGCTCTACTATGGACCTCTAGGTTCCGACCTAGTGGAACCCAGGTGGAGTGACGCTTAAACAAGCAGCCGGAATCCCTGGTTAGGATTGAGGGGCAACCCTCTTTCCGAAGGGTCTGCTTCGGCAGCCGGCGAGCCTGATGACCTTAAGTCATCCGCCCATGATGTGCTAAAGGTTGATGCGTAAGCTTCGGCCTACATCATGGGGCCCGGGTATGTCCTGTAGGATAGGTACCGGGTAAGCAGTCAGGGGGCTTCGGCTCTCATGACAACAAATAATAATAATAATAATAATAATGTTCCATACTGACTCTCTTTTGGAACGTATTGCTCTGATTTATTTTGTTTTAGCTTGGATGAAAATAGAAGTATGTAAGGGTTGTTTTTTTTTACACCTCACTTTTTTTAAGAATATCACGATGGAAGTCGGAAGAAAATGTTTTTAGTTGAGGGTCGTCAAAAGTAGTACGAAATACCAAAGGGTTTTGAGGTTAAACACGGTGAGGTAAGGCTCAAGCAGTTAGCGCGAGCGCCGATGGAGCCGCCGCCGAGGCCGAGTCAGACTGCCAAAACTGGTTTCTGCGCATAACCGGCCCAGACGTGCAACAAAACCACTGGGACCGGGCGCCGCCGGACAGTCTGTGCCAGTTTGTGACCCGATCAACCCGTCTCTCTCTAAGGTATAGTGCCTACTTGACATCAGTTTATGATTCAGGGAAATTAGATTGTTTTACGTTTGGATATTTACGATCGATGTTGAACAATTGATTTACGATAATTTGTTCCAGATAAACGAAGTTTACGATTTTGATCAGTGATCAATTAGTATTTTTGCAATTTAATTTAGATTTTAAATTGGGAAATAATTAGTTTGACGTTAAAGAAATTTTGCCGACTAGCTATATACAATCCAGACGAATTAGCATACATTAGGCTATTGAGGAAAGCAAAAGCTTAGTAAGGCCAATTGAGTATTTTAAAGGATTATTACCTACACATCTTATATTACATAACCTCTGTGTCACCTTCCAATATCCCTCCTTTTGCTGAAGTGCAAGCAGCATCCTTTGGGCGGAATACGCTACTCAATTACCTGACCCTCTTGTATCGCAGTTAAGGAGTGATTTAATAGGTTGAGCCTTAGCCTAGTTGTTATTGAAGAACTATATAATTTGAGGGTGACAATAGCCTAAGCTTGTGTAATATAACGTCATATAAACTCAATGTTGCCTTCCAAACACCTCTCCTTTTGCTGAAGCATAAGCACTAAGCAGCATCCTTTGGGCAGTGTACGCCATTCTATAGCCTACTGCCCTATCTTGTATGCTCAACGAATTTCTGGTATTTAATTAAAACGTAGAGAGAGTTACGAGACACAATTAACAAGGTATTTACGATTTAATAACGACATAACCTATTCACCACGCGCAACAGTGTTTTGTTATTGTTATTATTTTGCGTCTGATCCGAACTATCGATCGTATTGATATCGATAGCTACCGAAGTTAACACCGAATCTACTACCGGAACAATAGGTTATAGTTAGCCGTTGATTATAGTTGCTAGTGATTGGATCATCGACATTGACTAGCGATATAGCATTTGATTTTGCTCAGTTTTGCTTTTGTATTCACTACACATCTGAATAGCCGATAGCTACAATAGCCTAACAACTGATTGGTTAATAACATATTTATTTCGTATAATAATAATACTTATTATTACTATCCAACTTGATTCACTTGAACGATTGCACAAATATAAAGAACTGGTTTATAAATAGCCTAGGATAGCTGTTTTAGTGCTCGCATAGCTACGTTAGCCTGTTGATTAATTGGGATCTTTAAAGGATAGTGGGGGGTCTTAGTTATCCAAATTAACCTACCGTAACCTATCCTAGATTGCTGAAGTATATTCAGCATCCTAGTTAGCTGTGCAGGCTATCTACCCTTAACCTTTTTGTTGTTTAGAGCGCATTTGCGTGGGTTTAGGGTAGCGACCGAGGTTTATACGGGCGTTTAGGTAACGATTAACCTACCGTAACCTATCCTAGATGGCTGAAGTATATTCAGCATCCTAGTTAGCTGTACAGGCTATCTACCCTTAACCTTTTTGTTGTTTAGAGCGCATTTGCGTGGGTTTAGGGTAGCGACTGAGGTTTATACGGGCGTTTAGGTAACGATTAACCTACCGTAACCTATCCTAGATTGCTGAAGTATATTCAGCATATTTAGTTATCTGTACAGGCTATCTACCCTTAACCTTTTTGTTGTTTAGAGCGCATTTGCGTGGGTTTAGGGTAGCGACCGAGGTTTATACGGGCGTTTAGGTAACGATTAACCTACCGTAACCTATCCTAGATTGCTGAAGTATATTCAGCATCCTAGTTAGCTGTACAGGCTATCTACCCTTGACCTTTTTGTTGTTTAGAGCGCATTTGCGTGGGTTTAGGGTAGCGACCGAGGTTTATACGGGCGTTTAGGTAACGATTAACCTACCGTAACCTATCCTAGATTGCCGAAGTATATTCAGCATCCTAGTTAGCTGTACAGGCTATCTATCCTTAACCTTTTTGTTGTTTAGAGCGCATGTGCGTGGGGTTAGGGTAATGATCGGAGCGTAGCAAGGTTTAGTTTGATCCTATAACCTTTGATACCGATCCTAGTTTGCTCGAAGAACATTCAGCATCCTAACTAGCTGTACAAGCTATCGAACCTAATTCTTGAAATAGACTCTAACGCGGGAATTGAATGAACAGATAACACGACACATAGATTATACACGACAACGTTTTCTTCCGCGTCTGGTAGGGTAACGATGATGAGTGAATAGCGACAACTGTTTCGCACATTTCACTGAGTTACCCTATCATTTCAATAAAGGAATTTGATTAAACACAGACGATCGACACTTTATTCGAATCGAAATTAATATTGAGTGGAATTTCAGAACAACAATATTTTGTTGTTTCACATCGACCCCTGGAAATTTAAACCCAGCACGCTGAACTATTTTGGCAATAGGATAACGGAACCGACACACACACAGAAATTCCCTCACAAGTATACATACTAATCCGAGCCGCCTGAGAAACATAAGATAGAATCAAAGAGGGTAGAAATTAAAGGTATCTATTCACATGTTTAATTAGTTGCTTTTAGTGAGGCAGATTGCAGGTAGGCTAGCTTAAATTTAATTTTTGTACAGTAGAACCATTTTTTTAACAGTGGTGGGGCCCAGGGGGACCAAATCCTGGAATGACTACTAAATAATGCCAACACACTACCCACCTACAATACGATTTACAGTAGAAACCCTTATATCTGACCTCAGCATAACTGAATCCTCCGGATATCTAACTAAGTGCCCAACTGTCTACTTGCTTCCTGTCTGGGGTGATTACACCGAGTATGTTCGGATATCCGAAAGGCCGATCACTGAGTTGCCGTAATTGGGGCAGACGATCACAGCTGTTGCTGAGACCGCAAGATATGCTCACAAGTGTTGCCGCAATCACCGTGGACAAATACTGGTGTCACCATAACAGGGAATCATGCTCATGTATGTTACTGCGGTCGAATGAGGCGATTACTGGTGTAACTGAGACCGCAAGTTACACTCACAGGTGTTTCCGTCATCGCGGGAGACGATTACTGGATGGTGTCGCCAAGACCACAAGTTATGCTCCTCCCAAAATCCAACATTTGGCCATTCCGACCATGGCCCGGTATTATGTTGGATATGAGGGGTTCTACTAGACGTCTGTCTGCTATATTTAGACAGAAACAAACACCAGTCTGTCAGTTCGGGAGGTGGTGTCTTAGAACTGAAAATGGAAATACAAACAAATATGCAAGATTTTGTAAAAAAAATATGCAGTAGTTTTTAATAAGCATAGGTTGATTTTAATCAGGCCTTATAGTCCAGGCGCTAAACGGGTTGAGTATGCACTGAAAGTCTGACAAAATTTGACTTTTGATTATTGTTGGGGACATCTAGTAGATGAAAAAAATCGATGATGTCGCATTCCTAGGGTGGTCACAACTCGGGGGGGAGGGGGGGAAGTTGCGCGGGTCATCGGTTTACGTTTGAGCGTCTAACTCACAAATGGTTAATGATAGAAAGGTGAATTAAGCGTCTATCTACGCCTAAATATGTTGTCTTTTAAAAAGGCTATTACAACCTTTCTTCTATCTCTTATACTTTAGGCGCTAATCAACATTTATTGCAAAAAATAAAATTTAAAAATACTTAAAAATGAAATATCGGAAATATTGCGCTTGTTTAGGGCATGTTACAAACTATTTATGGTTAGAAAAACTAACAAGTAGTACAACAACACCAAGTTTAAAGAAATCCGTGCAAAAACAACAGAGCTACGTTGATTTCAGTAAGAGTAAACGTGGAAAATTCGTAGTAGTACCGAGGCGCGCATGAACGGTACGTAGCCCACAGTCGATATAGGTTTGATGTTGTAAGTAACTATGGGAAAGCTGAATTTTTCTATGCTATTAGACCATGTTGAGATGAGCATTTTCCCAAAAGTCCCCACTCCTACCCCTTTGTGCTTTCCTCTACCCCCCCCCTTTTAGATAAATTTACAGTCTCTTAGAAATTAAGCTATAACTTTAAAACGGGTAAGGATAATAACGCAATCTTTTATTAATCATTTTGCGTTACGATATTCTACAACAAGTTTACCATGGTATCCTAAATATTCATAGTTAAAAAATATCATAAACATAAAAAAATATTTTTTACGGATTAATTTATGAAACTTTTCTTTGTAGATTTTTTACACGAAGTCGCACAACAAAATGTTTGATACAAAATTTGGGGTGCATAGTTTACATTTGAAAATGATACATAGTTATTAACAGTTTGTTTGCATAAAGTAGCTATAGATAGTACAGTATATTGATTTTACAGGATTCAGGCTTTTTTGTGCACCGCAACAATGAAAAAAATTACGTATATTATGGTTTTTGTATTTGAATTTGCCGCTTTATATAGATTATATTAACGTTATGTAGCTCATTCAGTACATATACAGACTGTAGTGGATACATATGAATGAATATCGTGCATTTGCTGCTGTACGCCAGAGCCTCATTTTATTATACAGTGTGTCTCACCTAACTGAACCAATAGATAACTTTTTTATTATGAGATATAGAGTTAACTTCTTATGGGACACTACCCTTTATTTTAAGATGTTTTTTTTAGTGGTTTCGAATTTTAAAAATATGTTCGCCATTTTCCAATATGGCTGACAACTTTGTTAGTCCTATGGAATACCCTGTATTTTATGATTGTTTTAGAATGTAAACGCACAAATTTTAAACCTTTTTATTCTTGACATTTTTCTCTAAAGCTACTTGTTTAGGAGTTACATCGAAAAAGAAATGGTTTGTGAGTACATTCTGCATCCTCACAGCTCATAAACGTAAGTTTAAGAGCGGAAATACAAACAGTGTTATAAACAAAAAATAATAAGTGAAATATAAACAAGTTTTCAAATCACATCTACATTAAAAAAAAACCATAAAATAAATTGTTCCAATATCAAAGTAAGCTAGCATTTTTGAAAATGGTGGTCATTTTTAAAACAACAAAATCAGTATTTTTTAACGTATTTTATATATTTTTTTGAACGAGGACTTATATGTGACTTATTTATTCTTTGCACTTTCTCTCTCAACTTACTCGTTTATGAGCTACAGGATGCCGAATGTACACCACAAGCCTTTCTTTTAGATATAACACGCTGTAACTCCTAAATGGGGTAGGTTTAGAGAAAAAATGTCACGAATAAGAAAATAGCTTTTAAATTGTAAAAGAATACTAAAATACAGCGTATTCCATAAGAAATAACAAAGTTGTTGGCCATATTGGAAAATTGTGGATATATATTTTTTATTCGTAACCATCCCTAAAAACATTTTTTACAATTAAAAGGGGTTGTCTAATAAAAAGTTAACTCTATATGGAAAATAAAATTTGTGTATGTTCACTATGTAACTGGGATGAAACGTGTACCCTTTTATAGCAGAATCTCCAATTTAAAAAAAGATACGTCAATTTTGGTCTAACAAGTTATATTTAAATGAATATGAGTTTTTTTGAATATTTAAATGGCAAAGATTGGCGGGCACTTGGAAATTTTCTTAAAGAGGCGTGGAGTAAAGGGTGGGAATTGATAATGGAGTATAATTATTAAATTTAAGAATTGAGATATCGATACAAAAATTGGAAAAATCTATGTAATTTAAAAAATTTATAAAATATTGTTTGTTAAGTATCTATCAAAGTAAATTATAAAAGTAACAGGTTTGTTTGATGAATTATTAACTGTTTGTAGGAAAAATTCAGATTCTCAGTAGGCTACATTTAAATTTTATTATTCATTCAATTGTTATCTGATCTTTATTAGTATGTAGTGCTATTTGTGTATGTTCTGTAGTAGAAATCAGTTTATTTTATGAATAATTGTATGTGATTCATGGTATTTTTTTAAACGGTTTTAAAATATTTTAAAATCAGTGTGTCTAACACAAAACAGACGGTCTTTGACCATTGTTCTTTGCATTTAAATAAAAAACACTGTATTGATATTTTATTACAATGAACACATTTTCTTCTTCTTCATCATCTATCTTCTTAATCATTTATTCATCTAATAATTCTTTTTGTAGATTATCGTAACGCAAAATGATTACCTAATAAAATATTGCATTATTATCCTTACCCGTTTTAAAGTTATAGCTTAATTGCTAAGAGGCTGTAAATTTATCTAAAAAGGGGGGTTAGAGGAAAGCACAAGGGGGGAGGAGTGTTGACTTTCGGGAAAATGATAATCGCAACATGGTCTAACAGCATAGAAAAATTCAGCTTTCCCATAGTTACTTACAACATCAAACCTATATCGACTGTGGGCTACGTACCTATCATGCGCGCCTCGGTACTACTACGAATTTTCTACGTTTACTCTTACTGAAATCAACGTAGCTCTGTTGTTTTTGCACGGATTTCTTTAAACTTGGTGTTGTTGTACTACTTGTTAGTTTTTCTAACCATAAATAGTTTGTAACATGCCCTAAACAAGCGCAATATTTCCGATATTTCATTTTTAAGTATTTTTAATTTTTTTTTTTTTGCAATAAATGTTGATTAGATAAATGATATTAAAGTATAAGAGATAGAAGAAAGGTTGTAATAACCTTTTTAAAAGACAATATATTTAGGCGTAGATAGACGCTTAATTCACCTTTCTATCATTAACCGTTTGTGAGTTAGACGCGGAAACGTAAACCGATGACCCGCGCAACTTCCCCCCCTCCCCCCCGAGTTGTGACCACCCTAGAAATGCGACATCATCGATTTTTTTCATCTACTAGATGTCCCCAACAATAATCAAAAGTCAAATTTTGTCAGACTTTCAGTGCATACTCAACCCGTTTAGCGCCTGGACTATTAATGTTCATTAAGAGTACAACCTTTACATTTACTTAACAACATTATTGCCTTATTCTCAAACATTTTTGACCTAAATGTTATTTTATCTGAAATGACCCCACTACTTTCTTTTTGGTTAAGAGAGTTTCCTCAATACTTATTACCCAATTTACAACATTTTTTTATGTAAAAATTTCTTACTACAATTATTTTAGAGAGAAATTTTAATGTAATACGTACTTCTAGTTCTTTGATGGTGTTTTCCATCTGCTTGCTATTTTCACGCAAGTCTACGACTTTTGTGAAGTATTGGTACAAGAGATGCCTCACCTCCAACGTCGTCAATTTTTCCATGTTGGTCTTCATTACAAACCCACCCTGTATGTAACAATAAAAGATTAGTTATACTTGAATGGGACAAGTTTGGTAAATCTAGTAGTGGAATTAAAGACCTACAGTAATACCTTATTCTCTATGTGGGAAATTTGCTACAAGGACTTTGATAGTTGCTTCACAACTAAAGTCTTAAAATCACTCCCAAAGGATTATTGCAACCCTTCCATGTAAAGAAGGTGGGAACAGGCATTCCAGTATATAACCAACTCCAGGACTCCCCCCAACCTTAACCGAAGATCAACCTGTCCTTGAGAACTTGCTGAATGCATAACAGGCCTAGTGCATGTATATATATATGTCTATATAATTATATGTTTTGTACATACAGTAAACTCCCAATTATCCGCGGGATTGACTGGTGTGAATACCGCAAATAGTCAAATTTTGCGGATAAGCCGCAAAATTGCCGGTAATGGTTAAACACAAAGGTCAAAGGCACTTAAAAACAACACACAAGTGCTTTAAATTATTTTACAATAAAAGGACGACCTGATTATGTCATCCATGTTATTTATTGATAACATTTAATGCATTACAAAACGATTGAGTTAAATTGAACTGCTGTAGTGATGCGAGTATAGCGGGGAAGGTGGAGGGTGAGTCAACAGTGGCAGAGAGGGCGAATGACCATGTACATGCAGATTACTTACCGGTCATGTGATTCACTCGCGCGCTAAGTAAACAAAGATCTGCAGTGCCGCTGGTTGCGCTCAAAACTGCTAAAGCCCACACCACGTACAGTGGATAGCCTACCGATATACTGTACAGTAATACTGAACTACTGAACACGTTTTGTACTGTACATTATTAAGTGTACTGTACTGTATTGGCAATGCGATTTATGATTTTTACTGCGGTTTTGTATTTAGTAACTTGATTTAAATTAAGTTGTTTTTTACCTACATGCACCGCGCTTAAACCGCCCGCTTATAATCGAGAGTTTACTGTAGTTGTAAATAAACTAGTGATACGTGGCAAAACTGCATAAGTTAGTTAGCAACACCCATTACAGCAGCAATTTTGTAAACTCTCTTTTACTTTCACTACACTTGACAAAGTCACCCAGGAGACAAAATATTGCGTGTTCTGTCTGTCTTCTGTTTGTTCCATGGCCTACCTGTGCTTCTTTAAGGTAAGCTAGTTGCTATCCTCTTTATTCTAAAATTCAAAATCCTGGTCTATAGCCTTACCTTGAACAAAACTTTCCCAAGATATAGTTATGGCATCAGAAAGATATTGATTTCCTGAATCTTCCCAAATCTCTTGAAGGAAACTAACTCCTGTATTTAGTGTCTAAGATTTATCACTTTACATTACGCTACATAAATAACACAAACTTACAACAGTCTTTGCCAGCTTATGTTCAATCGGTTCATTTTGCATCAGACAGCTAAGAAACTCTATGCAGGAGTCAATCAGCGCAATCATTTCGTCCACTGAAATGTGGTATCGGATCTCTTCTTCCGTTGCCGTTTTGTCCTATGAATAAAACCACACAAATCCATCACAATTTAATGGTAATCTTAACCTTACTATAAGTGTCCTATATAAAATATCACCTAACTAAATTAAATCTTTAATAACAAATATGTGTGCTAGTGGTTTGAATTATTTAGCTTGATTAAATACTGCAGTATATTGAAAAATATAGTTCAACTGACAGGAAAAACTGTCTTTCTAACCCTTGTTTATATTCTAGCCTCGGTTTCGCCTCAGTCGTTTAACCTGAGCTTGGACAAAAAAGAGGTACTTCAGGCCACAATGATAAAATAAATCTTTTATCAGGTCTGGAATCTTGGTATAACCAATTCATTTAAGTAGTACTTCCTTCACCTCGCAAATGTTTTTCAAAATAAAACAAATACAAAAATGTAAGATTCTTACCTTTATACAAGCTTCAAGTTCATTTTTTTTGGTCACTAGCATATGTCGGTAACGTCGATGGTCGCAGATGTAGTTGCAGAACCCCATTGGGTCAAATTCGGACGACCCTTCAAAGTCCTCTTTAAACATCGATTTCATAGTTGAGAGTGTTGTTGCCAACGCTTTCACCCCCTGTATAGAAATAGTTGGAATTAGTTTTACAAGTGGTAATTGATCCTTCTAAAATCGTTGCTTTCCATTATTTATCCAACAAGGTCGTAGCAAATTGTAAATGTGTACAAAAGTGCACATGTCTATGGTGACGGCAGTTGCGTTTAGAAAATAAATTTAATAAGGTAAGGTTGTGGGCGTACACCTTTTAAGTTTTAATCAAATATATTTCAAAGTAGTTTAACAAGTAATGAGACCTGAATGTCAAAGAGTTACAAAAAAAGTAAAAAAACATGGGAAAATTTGGATGAACGTTGGTGTTGGTAATGCCAATAGACATAGACAAACTTTATTTGCACAAAACATTCCATACATGTCATACATAACATTTTAGAATAGATGCATTGTCAAAATTAAATCCATACATAAAATATTTAACATTTAAACTTAACTTAAAATTAAACACTTAAAATGAAAAAAACATTTTCTAAATTTAAGTTCTGTAAATATCTTTAATTGAGTAAAAAGCCTTGTCAAGAAGTAAATTGTCTATTGTCTCTTTAAATTTGGTTTTGCTTAGTGACTTATAGCATGGCGGAAGAACATTGTACAATCTCAGCCCAGCATGCGATGGAGATTTTTCATATAGGGTCAAACGGTGTCTGGGGAGTCTAAATATATTTTCATTTCGGGTTTCATACCGGTGATTAAAATGTATTGTTTCTGGTAGCTCATTTTTAACTGAATGTATGTAATTTAATAATTCTAGAATATACGACCCCGTTAATGTCTGAATTTTTTAATTTTGAAAATGTTTCTTACAAGAACTGTGTGGATAAGAGTTAGTGATAATGTGAATAATATGTTTTTGTAACCTGAATATAGATTTTATACTAGTAGCTTGACCCCATAAAATTATGCCATATCTTAATACAGACTCCACATAAGCATAAACGATTTTAAGTGTCTTATTAGAAACACAGTCCCTTAAATGTATGAATAAAGATGATATCGACCTAATTTTGGTATGTAAATAATTGAAATATGAATCCCATTTAACTGTGTCATCTACATAAACTCCTAAAATTTATGAGCTTCGACTAAATTTAAGGAACAGTTTTCCATATTATTTATCTAGTAGAAAATTTAATATTTGTTTTTTCAACATTAAGTTTTAAGTTTTAATCCATTTTCTAAAAAACCATAGCTCCATATCCTTTACCACACCTTGCAGAGAAGAAAACATTTCAGTAGTACTATTATTTTTTATCAAAGCACTGGTGTCATCGGCAAAAATAATTAGATCTCTATTAATAGCTTTTGGAATGTAAATAAGAAAAAAGTGGGCCCAATAAAGTCAACGATAACTCAAATTTATGTATGTAAAATAAATTGATGTATGTATACACTTTAGATGGACTCACGTTCATTCAATCCTTCGTTAACTAAGGGTTTAACAAGCTAGTAGTTTGGAAAATAATTTTACCAACGACCAATTTTTAAACTGGCCTTTTCAATTCAATTTTAATTTTTCACTTTACCACATTTTTTACTTTACTTACAGCACCATTTAGCACCATGATGGTCGGTGTGGTAAAATAACCGACCAATCGGGTTCACAGATTGAGAGAAATAAGTAAAATTGTAATGCTTGAATGCAACTTATCAGTTGGTAACAACAAATTTGAATGTTGTACCTGAAACAGTACAGATGGGCCAAAACTTCTATGCACTTAGACGATTCGCTACTAGCCGCACTAAAACGTACAGGCACCGATTATTGGCAGTGCTGGGGGTAGGGGTGAGTGAGCAGCAAGACACGGAGGTTTTCACAAACCCCGCCAACCCTCTCGCCTAGACCCAACCAGTTCTGGTTGCGCACATAGAAATTTTAGCTGGTCTGTACTTATGATAAGAAGAATGCTGCTGGGGCCTAAGGGGGTGCGGTAGTTCCTTGGACAGCCAAGGCTACTTAGATCTAGGAGGATTAAGGAGAGGGCACACGAATAGGAATATACATGTTGCGGTGAAGCCAGCTTTAGCAGAACACTAGAGGGGCACGCGGAGCCGTAGAGTGGCAAAAAGCCGCAGCTTTAACATAAAAGTCGCAGAAAAACGCAACGCGCGCTTTTTTGAAATTAAAATTGCCACTAAACTAAAACACTTGTGTTATTAAGCGATGGCAATCTTAATGTGAATTAAGTTTTCTATCGAATGGTGTAAATCATTTCTATATAATCTATTATTTATTATTTACTATTGAAGATCAAAGTTGAAAGTAATGAAATGAAATGAAATATTACTTTATTATCACAAAAACATTTCACAGATCCAGCGTTAGCTGGTGAAACAGGTGATATTGGGTCCGCGGAATTGGCTAACTCTGGAACCCGCAAACCCCATGTTAAACGCCCTATCTTCAAATTTGGTCGATGAGAGGAACTCGCTAACTTGTTCGGTTTGGGAATTGGCTAACTCCGGAACCCGCTAACCCGCTCTAGAGCCGGGTTAGCGAATTCCGTCCTCGTACGGAAGTCGCTAACTCGGTCCCTCGGCGGAACTCGCTAACTCCCAATCAGAAGCCTCTCGCGGCGTCCAATGGGAGCCAAGCACGAAGATTGTTGGCCAGTGTTGCCGAAAGTGTAGTACCTATGATCGTATCGGTACCATAATATTGTATCCTACGAATAATTAGGAGTAAGAGCAATGTAGTCGATAAAATAAATATATATTCAGAAGTATGTTTAATATAATTCTTATGAATATTATTAGGTTGGAAAATGCATTATAGTCTTACCATAGAGACTAACCAACACAAGTAAACATTACATCCCATTGTACATTTTGAAACTCGTTTCTAGTTCATGTCTGGTGACACTGATCGCTAGTAGCCTATCGTCGAAATTGTGTTTCTATTCTATTATTTTATTGTTAATTTCATGATTTGTTCTCTACTGTTTGGTTTTATAGTTATATAACCAAACAGTTCCTAGTTAGGGGACGTGTTATTAGTTATGATTAGAACGTTTTATTTGGTTAAACGAGGTTTTAAATGACTGAAAACAAGAAACAAATTGTAAACAAAACACGACCTTTACAGACATTGCACCGGACAGAACTAACAATAAAATTGTCTTCAGCAGATCTATAAGGATGAGAAATGTACTAATATAAGGAAGTATGTTTTATCTATTGTCTTCTTACTGAAATAGTAGTTTATTGGGATAAAAAAAGATAGTACTGTACAGTTAATTTGGATCTTTTACAGGTTATGAAAACTTGTCCTCGATAGGTTATAATATTTGTTTCTTTAAAGGCCTATTATATATCTGTCGTGCGAGTGTTATAACAATAGTTTGGTTCTTCGTAATATTTCTGTATTATTACCAAAATAATTCCGAATCATAGTATTAGTAAACAAATAAAATAGTTTCAATATTTTTGTATAGCAGGCACATGATATTCCTAGGTATATTAATTAATAACGGAAATCTAAAACGTTAACACTCTATTACAATATTGCGTCTTTACTTTAGCCAAGAAAATTAATTTAAATGTTGTTACATTATGATGTTAGGAAACATATAATCTATTAACCAAAATTGAAGCAGTAATGTAATAAATAGTCTATCCTATTCGAGGGAACCAACAATTAGACATTGTAAAAAAGCTCCAGTAATTGCCGTAGACTTTAAGGACCTTACATTTTGAGGATTAACTTCCCGATAAAATTTACACGTTAAACGTCATTACAGAAATACATTTTAGTAGTGTTAAATATATTTTTAAATAGAGCTATTGAATTTAAATAAATATTAATCAGTACATGATAAAGTGGTAATGTATTGATCGATTGTATTAAAAATTAGTCTATGCATAATTACAATTTGTAAATTTCTATTATCGTAGGCTAAGGACCTTACATTTTGAGGATTAACTTCCCGATAAAATTTACACGTTAAACGTCATTACAGAAATACATTTTAGTAGTGTTAAATATATTTTTAAATAGAGCTATTGAATTTAAATAAATATTAATCAGTACATGATAAAGTGGTAATGTATTGATCGATTGTATTAAAAATTAGTCTATGCATAATTACAATTTGTAAATTTCTATTATCGTAGGCTATTAGTGTAGCTGGTCATCCTCTTAATTATATTAATATTAATTTTACGTCTTTCAGTACTTTTAAAAAGTCTGGAGTTTTTATGGTTCTAAATGGACCCAGGCGTTCTTGTTTGTTACCATTTTTATGAATGGTGGCCATAGCTAAAATTAGCTGATCTTATCCAACAACAAAGCTATTGTCTATTGAGTAGCTCAGTACCTGGGGAACGGGGAACCGAGCAATGGCTTGGTACTTGGTATAGTATATTTCGATTGTAAAAGTAATATAAAGGAAACTTAACACTAAAATCAGGAATATCCGTCAAGTCGTCAATTAAGAATCGTGAAATAAAATAAGCCTGTCACGTTTTAATATAAGAATATTATATATTCTCCTATTATTTACTAGTGGGGCTTAGGATTATCATCTAAAAACGGTTATTAAAACATGTAACATTATTACTCAATAATTCAACAAATTTTAGAAATAGGTAATTAGGCAACTAGCTTTTACTAGTAGGCCTACAATGCGTTGGTTAAAACTATTAGATCTAGATTTACAGCTATTCTATAAATTGTTATGAAACGTAGCCTATGAATATTTTTTCACGAAAGTTGGACGATTCAACGACGAACCTTTAATTTTAAATCTATGAATTAGTTATGAAAGTGGTTTTGGTTTATTACGACATTACGATAAAATTTTTTTCCGTGTTTGAGAACTTGCGTGTATTTTTTTAGCTTAATTTCATGGAGGTTTAATTGGTACTACTGGATAATCAATATTTTTTTCATATTCTATTTGTTCCTATAATACTGGCATTTATATTTAAGATCGAAATCATAAACATTTAATTGGACGTTGTACAGTTAAATGAAAAAAACACTATTTAATGATTTTTTAAATTGC